CCCGCAAATTCAAATGGACAGGAAAGCGGGTCAAGTCTTAATGAGCCAATGAGAGCATTTATGCAGAAAATGTCTCATTCCGATGGAGGGGATGATTGGAGGAAATGGGGGTGGCGGTTTGAGATCATTTGTGTGTGTGTGTGTGTGTGTGTGTGTGTGTGTGTCATTAAATGAATTAGCCGAACTATATAAGACGATGCATCTCACATGAGCCCATTAGACATCTCTGGAAAATCACACAAGATCACTTCTTGGCCGCTGAACAAATTGTAAGTGCTAAACGAATTTGTGCAATGACATTTGGAGTATGCTGGATGCATGTGTCTGTAATCGTGGGTGATATTCGAATCAATTCGATTGTATTTTTTTAAAAAAGAGAAAAAAAAATTAAAGGAACCTATTTTTCCCCAAGCTGAGTCGCCATGGGCCGCCTGGATGAAGTAATTCTAAAGATGACGAGCCTCTTTGAGGAATACAACACTGACGGCGACAAGTATTTGAACTCAGAGGAGACGAAAGTCTTGCTTGAGAAGGAAGTCAACATCAACAACTTTCAAGTGAGCCAACACAGTGAACGCATTCGCAGCGCAGGACTCGATGACGTATGCGTGCAATAATCGCCTGTAACTTAACGTTCTCTTCATTTCTGTTTTGACAGGGGAACCTCACGATGGACAATGTCAAGGAGAGCTTGAAACAGTTGAACAGTAACCAAGAGACCGAGCTCAGACTCCTTGACTTTGGCAGAGCTTTGACTCAACTGGCGATTGTGTACCACCGCAACAAAAACAGGGGGCAATAAGTTAAAAAATATATATAATAATAATAAAGTCAAATGATGATTTAATGAAAAATGGCAACTTGCTATTATAATTGACTACAAAGGAATTGTTTCATTTGGGTCCATTAAAATATGCGGGTCCGTTCCAAAGCTGCTGGTCTTTTTTTTCTGTATGATTCTTCTCAATACACATTTAACAAGCCATTGAGGGTCCATCTATCCATCCATTTTCCAATCCGCTTATCCTCACGAGGGTCGCGGAGCGTGCTGCAGCCTATCCCAGCTGTCTTTGGGCGGTAGGCGGGGTACACCCTGAACTGAAGGCCAGCCAACCGCAGGGCACACGTCAACAAACAACTATTCACACTCACAATCACACCTTGGGACATTTAGAGTGTTCCATTCACCTGCTCTGCACGTTTTTCGCAATATGGGAGGAAAGTACCTGGAGAAAACTCACATGGGCACCTGGAGAACATGCACATGCAGGAAGGTCGGAGCCGGAATGGAACCCCGCACTGCACTGAGTGGGCACCTGGAGAACATGCAAAGGTCGGAGCCGGAATGGAACCCCGCACTGCACTGTGAGGCCGACGTGTTAACCAGTCGACCACCGTGCAGCCGCCTTTGAGGGTCCTGTCTCTTTATTGTAATGGCTCTCCGTCTTTTTCTGAAACGCCCAATGAAAAAAAACGCAACAACATTATTAGGAGTAGCAGCCAATCATCTTTACTCAATGGCTCTCCGTCTTTTTCTGACACGCCCAATGAAAAAAAACGCAACATTATTAGGAGTAGCAGCCAATCATCTTTACTTTTCCATTAGAGTCATTTTTTGTGTGCAAATAACGAAAAATAAACTTTCATGTCACCTCTGCATCGGGTTTAGTGGCGCGTCATTTCTCTCAATGACTATGCATTTTATAATTGCGCTGTCGCTCTAGGCCATGTCAACCACAGTGAACTTGGTCGTGATTCCTCCTTCCTTCTGTTCCTCTACTAAATGCTAAAAAGTGAAAAGTGTCATAGCCCGAAATGGAAAAACACGTTTTGACTGCCCTTCCCCGAAGACCGGCCTGCAAAGTGTGACTCTACCAGGAGCGAACTGCAGACAGTCACGCTCTCCAGATTATTGGAACACGCAACCTCCATTAACATGACAAGGTCAGACCTGAGAGGGAGTTAAATAATAATAAAATGGCAAAATGACAGTATTTTAGTGGGGGATTCCAAGCTGTTTGTCCTACATACGGTACATATACCTCACAGCTGAAGAGCCAAGGCTTCGGGAAAACAATCATCAATTATTTCTTGTACAACATGCAATTAATTCATTTATTTCTACGCTCAGAAATAATCATCTTATGAGGCTTTCAGCCCACAACCATTGATTGGGAAAGTTAAATAATGCATGGAATTCAATGAGCATCTTTTAACACAAATGAGGCAAATACACAGGCATCTGTCTTTTATTTATTTATTTTGAATTTACTTGACTGTAAGTACATTACACCTCAAACAATGAGCTGGTAAAACTCCCTTCGCGTTCAATAGTTTTGACATGTGCAAGTGGCTCCAATGGGTTTCCTCCGGATACTCCTTTTCCCTCCGACATTCCCAAAACATGCGTGAAAGGTTAATTGAGGACTAAACTGTTCCTCGGTGTGAATGTGAGTGTTAATTGTTGTTTGTGTATTTGAGCCCTGGCAACCAGTTCAGGGAGTTCCTCTTACCCAAAGACAGGTGAGATATAGGTGCCAGCAGACAAGTGACTGATTACAGAATGAATGAACGAAATTGGTTTCACTGTCAAATTACATGGGCTTAGTCGAAAAGGTGAAACCGGTCTAGGTGGCGTTGAAAACATTTTATTTTAATTACATTATATCATGTGCGAATGTGTGTGTGTGTGTGTGTGTGTGTGTGTGTGTGTGTGAGTGTGTGTCATTATAAGAAGTCCATAATAAGATGATGCATCTTGCTTGAGTCTGTCACACGCCTCTGGGGAGTCACACAAGATTGCATCTTGTCTGCTGAACATACTGTAAGTGCTCAAGAAATTTGCTTAATAGAGTTTGCGTATGCTGGATGCGTGTTAGGCTAAATTGTAATCGGGTGTGATGCTCAAATTCTGTTGCTTTTGTTTGTTGTTGTTTTTTATTTGTTTGTTTTAAAGATAATGCCCCCTGTTCTTTCAATGCAATTATAGGAAGAAGACTTTTCACAAACCTCAGTAGCCATGGGCCGCCTGGATGAAATCGTTGTAACGTTGTCAGACCTCTTTGATGAATACAACAATGACGACGACAAGAAAAAGCGTTTGGACAAGGACGAGATTGGAGCCTTGCTTGAGAATGAAGTCAACATCGACAACTTTCAAGTGAGGGACTTTAGGCAACACAGTGAACACATTCACAGCATAGGACAAAGTTCTGAGCGTGTGCAGTATTTTCTGTGCCTTAACGTTTTGATTTTGGGTTTGACAGGGGAAACTCACGATGGAGATTATCACAAAGATGTTGAAGCAGATGGACAAGAACAAAGATGACGAGCTCAAACTCAAAGAATTCGGGAACGCTGTTACTCAGCTGGCAATTTTGTACTATCACAGGAATAAGCCAGGGGGAGAGGTTTAAAAAAATACACTGATAATCATATAAGATATGGTATTATACTGGTAGAATTAACGACAAAGACATTCTTTAATTTGGATCCATTACAAAGTTGCTGGTATATTTTTCTGCATTCTTCTTTTCAAGACAGGAAGTAAATAAAAAAATCACAGTTTCAGGGTCCTGTCTCTTTATTGAAGTGGTTCTCAAGTTTCTTTTCCTGACATGTGCCCCTTTTAGAAGACAAAAACAATTGATAATCCCTCAATACCAAATGTGGTACATACTATGTACCATATATATTTACAAAAAAAAGACGGTGGAGGATTAGCAAAAATAAAAAGACCAGATTTACCAGTGGTCCTATTTAAGAGCTGAATCACACAATTTAATAATAGATTAAGTAGTATTTTGATCAACGTTACGTCTCAAAATGTTTCATATTTTACATGCCAGTGCTAATTAGATAGCACTAGCCAAATGAGAATGCTAGCACTGAGGCAGTGGTTCTTAACCTTTTCAGTGGTACCGAACCCAACCGGTTAATTTGCACATTCACCGAACCCTTCATGAGAGAAAAATAAATATATATTTTACAAATTCAAGATATAAAAAACGCATTTATGAAACACAGAAAAAAGCAAATAAAACTTCAAAAGATAAGTATACTTTTTTTTTTTAATTGTATGACGTACTATCACGACAGCCACACTTGACTACGAAGCGAAGTAAATTTCCCACAGCACTGATTGGACAAGCAATGTCATGTGATCATCTGCAGCCAGTGATGGCCAAGTGGGCGTGTCATAACTAATTAACATGTTGAGTCGCGTGTGTTTTATCCTCCATGGCAGAGGCTGAGTTGAACCCCCGAGACCGACTCACCGAACCCCTGGGGTTCGCACGAACCCAGGTTAAGAACCACTGCACTGAGGCATGTCATTAGCTTGCAAGGTAAAGACACAAGCCTGTAAACTCCGCTATATATTATTTGACATAGTACAATTTTATAAAATAGACATTGGATATACTTGCTATTAACTACCTGTGATGCTACGCTTGGGCTGGAAGAAGGTCTGTCCACATACCTGTCAACTCATACGGTTTAGCCATATTTCATACGGATTTTGTGGTGAATCTTACGTATATGGCCATATTGCACGAATCATACGGATTCTGAAAATTTCGGGTTTTTTTTTTGTGGGTTTTTTTCCCCCTTACAGGTAGTTCCGTTTGCTTTGGCCCAGAATGGTGCTAGTCTACTCGAATGCTTTCATTTCCGTAACTTTCCAGTAAATCACGTGGTTCCTAGTTGAAAACAGCAGAGTATTCATTGCATACTTCGGTAGTGTACAAGCAAATTCTACAAGGAAACAAATATATCATTCATATTTCGTGGGTTTTTTTCTGCCGTTATTTTGACATATAAAATGCTTTGGTATGTAATAAGGATTTTTTGCTCATTATAAGGATTTTTTTTGGTAGTTTATACAGGTTGGCGCTCCGAAAAGTTGACAGGTATGTGTCCATCTCACCGGCGTGTGGAAGATTTGCGGCTCATTTACTTTCCCTGTGACCTGCCTCCGACCTACACGACATCATTCCACCAGACATTTCTGATTTGTATCCACAAAATTGAAAACCTATTCACAGAGTCGAATTTGTGTCCACTGTGTGTTTTCGTAAACGTCGAAGTCAGCGTTTTATTCACAAGACTGGGCACTGATAGATAGGTTTTACATTCATACTCACATGAAAACAATTCCAACCCACATATTTTTACTGTTACGAATATAAGCGGTTAGTCACGTATACATCTTATTGACAGCTTAATCCAATGGAAAAACAGTTGCGTACGTGACCAAAAAAAACATAATCTCGCCTGTGACGCACATTCAGCATTAGACTTCTGAAGGACCAAAAAGGCTCAGAAGAACTAAACGCAAGATGTCAAAACTTTCTGTTACGTTTTAGATGTTAATATCTTTGTTATGTACTGTAATGCTTTTTAATTAAGTCTACAAAAAATTAATTCTATACATAATTCTTTTAAAACATGGCATCGCCTCATTTATATGGGCAGCCATTTTTCAGTCTTTTCAGTCAATTGAGAGTGCCAAATCATGAGAATGAGACATGTATCAGCCCCTCCTGCTCAGGTTATTTGCAGTACGAACAACACAAGACAAAAATGCTCGTTATTCAGCAACAAGCTGTACATCCGGCGGAGCCACTTACGGAGCCAGCTTCGACTTGGCTGACGAGCAAGAGCTTGTTCTCTTATCGTTCAAGTTGATATCCTAGCTTCTATTGACTGTGGTCAGGTCAGCCTCCAGTTGACAAGTCAAAACAGTGCCACTATACATAATGGTAAAACGCCACCAACTTGTAAGGCTTTTCTTTTGAAGTTGGCCCATGCAACACGTCAAGCATTGGCTTGACTTGTCTTTTTGATTCGAGGTTGGCCTTAACCCAGGTTATCTTGCCAAAATATACAGTACTGTTGCCATCAGAATCACCACCATGTCGAAAAGGAAGAAAGCGAATCTGAACACTTTCAGTAGCTTTGATAGTGACAGCCTGACACAGATGCAGTTCAACACGATCCACTTTTAACAAACCAGGCTTATTAAAAAGATGAGGTGAGTTTTGATTCGAACTGAAACATCCCAGGTATTCTTGGAAATAAAAATGTGTTTAAATCCCTTGAATATAAAATTGCTTATCTATAAAACAAAAACATTTGTACAACCTGTACTGGAATGCTTTGACAGTCTTTCAAAAATGTTGACGTCTTTTCCAAATGCACTGCACACCTAATCAGCAGTGTGATTAGTCATCAGGCTATTGTGTTGACTGTATAAGAGGATTCCACCTCATTCGCACACTAGCCTCGCTGGAGAAGCAGACAAGATCGCACTAACATACCGTAAGTACTGATGGAACTTCTGATATGAACTGTATGAGTCTATCTTTGAGACTATCAACATTATCCACATTATTTTATCTATCTTGCAATACTATGTGCATTAGTCACAACTTCTGGTTTGGTTTTTAGTCTATTTTGCAAACATGGTGAATATCCCTGACCCCTTGAGCCAAACTCTCGACCATCCTAAATCAAGGCCTTTTTCTCCTGTTTCTCCAGAACCTTACCAGAAACAGTTTTTTTCCCTCCCAAAGCAGCCATGTTCAAACTGGAAGAGTGCATTCAAAAATTTGTGGATCTGTTTGAAGAGTACGCCAGTGAGGATAACGATTGTTTGAGCAGGGATGAGTTTAAAGCGCTGGTAATCGATGAAATCAGTTCCCCTGACTATAAAGTAAGTGACAAATCAGCAAAATTATTCTCACCACAGAACGCGGTTATGTCTCGTTTTTTTTTTTTTTTTGTCAAGTGGCCCTTTTTGAGTGTTCATAGGGAAAACTCGAGAAATGCGATATCGACGAGGTCTTTGACGAGCTGGATAAGAACGATGACGACCAGCTCAGCTTCCAGGAGTACATCATGTGCATGGTCAAAATGACGAAATGTCAACGCAAAAAGGCTGGAGGGAGGGGTCGCCGTAGAGGAAAATGGGGCGGCGGTAAGGGTTGCAGGGGCAAAGGTGGTAAAGGAAGGGGCAGTGACGATGATGATGAAGACTGTGGTAAGGGTGGCAAGGGTGGCAGGCGTAGCAGAGGCGGCAAGGGCGGCAGGGACAGTGATGATGAATGAAATGCTAATAATGGTCTGTCATTTATTTGTGCTGTTTCTGTGTTTGCTTTTATCAATGAAAGTAAATTAAAACACAATATATTCCTATTGGTGATCCTGTACATTTATTATTATTATTTTATAGTATACATACTGAATATTTTTGTAAAATCCCATCCAAAAAACTATGTGTGTGTGTGTGTGTGTGTGTGTGAATTTTTTTTTTTTTAAGAAAAGAAAAAAATCAATTGGGGCTTAGTAAGAAAAAAAAAATCTTTCACATTGTTTAGATGTCCCCCCCCAAAAAAAAAGACTGATTTATAGTGCATTCCATACACTATTATTTATTTATTTTTTTTAAGAAAAGAAAAAAAATCAATTGGGGCTGGGGGGTATTATAAAGGGGGCTTAATAAGAAAAAATAATATTTCACATTGTTTAGATGTTTTCCAAAAAAAAAAAAAAAGACTGATTTATAGTGCATTCCATACACAGCGTAAATCAATATGCTTCACATACTTTAATTAAAAGCACATCATTTGAGGTTTGTGGTTTGAATCTTGACTCTGAGTCTCCTGTGTGGAGTTTGCATGCTCTCCCTGTGCTTGCGTGTTTTCTATAGGACATGTCATGTCATGTCACAACACGTCACGTCACATCACGCCATGCCGAGTCAGGTGATTGTCGTGTCATTTCTTGTCGGATCAGGTCATGTCATGTTCTGTTGTGGCAGTTGCCATGACCGCAAAAAGGCATTCAAGAAAGCTGTTAAAAGAATTGCCCTAAAGCAATAGTGGTATTTATTTTAGGATTACTTCAATACTGAAAAAGGAGATGACTCAGTGAGGGTGTGGATGTGGGTGTGAATGGTTGTTCTTCTCTATACGTGTCCTGCGACTGACTGGCGACCAATTCAGAGTGTAGTCTGCCTTTCCCCTGAAGTCAGCTGGGATAGGCTCCAGGTGAACTGAACACGTTACAGTTGCCTTTATCAAAAGAATGTAATTTTGCTGTGTAACTCCGAACCCTCAAATGAAATCATGACATACCGTTTACTATCCGTGGTGTGTTGTTGCATGCGTCTCCAAATGCTCATTTTCATAATTACACTGCCAACATCAAATTGGATGTGTGAACTTGTTGCATTCTGGAACAAACAAGGTGTGTCGGTGGCAAAACGGGTTCAAAAATAGAAGCACATTTCTCAGTAACAACCCAGTAAATAAAAAAGTCATCTCAGATTGCATGTCAAAACATCCTCTTTCAATGCGTTGCTTTGAATGCGATTTAAAGCAAATGGCGAGACAGTAGCTTATGTTAATGACTCGGAAACAGTTTAACCAATGCTCCCTGGTTAGCTCTATCACAGGGGCCGCAACTCTAGTCAGGATTGTTATCAGGCTTCTGCAGAGCTTGCCGATGAGCTGATCATTTGATTCAGCTGCGTTGGAGGAAGAAAACGTCTGTAAAACATGCAGTATAGGGGCCATCGACGACCTAAATAATTTCCAGCAATTCCCCTTCATGATGGAAAGTTCACAACTTTGCAAATGCATTTTTGTGTTTTGGCTAAAGTGCTAAATTCTTATTGGAGAGCCATTCATCCATGCTTTGGAGCGCTTGTCCTCATCAGCGTCACCGGTGATTTGGAGACTATCCTTTCTGACTTTGAGCAAACTGATGGACTGCTTGACCCCTCCTCCCTATTAGTTAATTAAATAGAGGTTCCACTGTAATTGGGTTTGCATGCCAACACTCAGGATAGAACTGTCCGAGCTCACCCATGTGCATGAAATGATGAAACCGTGCTTGGATGAGAGGCAAACATCTCTACTCAGGCAAACAAAATAGTCCATTTGTGGTAGATTCGATGTCTTGAGAATACTACAACCTGAATCCGAGCTCCCCCATGTGCATGAAATGATGAAACCTTGCTTGGATGAGAGGCAAACATCTCTACTAAGGCAAAAAAAAATAGTCCATTTGTGATAGATTCGATGTCTTGAGAATACTACAACCTGAATGAATAAGAATATGCACAGGCGCAAGTTAGAGCCTTCAATGAACCGATCACGCATGTTTTGGGAATCGTGGTGGAAGCTCTACTAGTCCACCGTGTTGCTACACGTAAGATATACATGTACAGTGGTGCATGGAAATATGAGCAAGCCGACTTCATTCATGTCACGGATAACCAGTTTTCTGGGTTTGGTCTATACATGTACAGTGGTGCATGGAAATATGAGCAAACCGACTTGTTCATGTCACGGATAACCAGTTTTCTGGGTTTGGTCACATGACGTTCGTAATAGAGGACTTTCATGTCAATTTCAGTCAACGGCAATGGGTGGTAGAATGACAAAATGGCTGTCCCCTGAGATGGACGAAAAATGCAATATTAATCAAAATGCCACTTTTAGACAACCGTAAAAGACTTGCGCTCAACTTTAAACTTGCATTTCAGGCACCACTGTTCTGTATATGCGTTTTAAATTCTTGTCACACTTAAAAATACAAAAACATGACAAAACAAGCAGCATTGGTTCAGACAAAACATCTCACCTCAATCAAAAAGGAGGGAGTAAAAGGGCGTTGTACCGAGTGTTGTATAACAGGTGAGCCGTTTTCTTTTGACATTTTTCCTCGCCGGTGCCACTTGAGCTCGTCAACTGATCACACAAGTTTGGTAAGTGGCTGTTTCTTTCCAAAATAATGAATTTTAAGCATCAAATATATACATATGATGTTCTCTCCATCCATAGCCAACATGAGCATTAAGGCAAGGTTGATCCAAGCGATGTGCATTCTCCAGGAAACATTTGTGGAGTATGCTGAGAAATCAGGAGACAAAACCAGTATGACTCAAGCAGATTTTGCTTTGATGCTCCGTAAAGAGTGTTGCATGCAGGTGAGAGAGAGAAAGAGAGAGAGAAAGATTAAATTCCTTCACATTCCAATGCGGTTTGACTATATTACTGCTTTTGTTTAGCTCGACAGCAATCAGTCACTGAAGGAGTTCTTTGACAAGCTGGATTCCAATGGTGACGGTGTTATCGACTTCAATGAGTTTTGCGTTCTTATGGCAACATTCTTGAAATTGTTGGAACCTATGTGAAAAAATTGTGCATGTTTATGCTTGCTTTAACAAGGACAACATGATTCTAAGTCCTTGAGAACCTATACACTGTTGAAAAAGTATGTCTTTTTTGATTACACGTGATTAAAATGTGGTAAACTGACATAATTGTGTACTCTCTTTCTTGAAAATATTCAGATAAAATATGTAACTTGAACACATTTTAATCATGTACAAACAATGGGCATGTCCGAATTAAGTACATCTAAATGATAAATGTTTTTCATTGTATTACAGTATCATCCATAAAATATCATGAAAGCTAAATGACTTCTTTTGTCAATTTGAAGCATATCTTATTTGGTTGACTGTCTTGTGTGAAACAATGAAACGCTGTTCCACTTTAAATTCTATGTTACTACATGGATATCCAATGGACTGTGTTTACATCACTGCTGCCACCTCATGTTGAGTTTTTGAATTATCAAGCGTGTCAGTCGGATAAGGGTGAGTCACCTGTCGAAGTCCAATTTAATCAAATGATGTATTACTTGTAGAATTAATCATTTCTATGTGGCGAATCTCTTGTGCAGTTTCACACGAGGCAAAAAAAAGTCACACGAGTTAAAGAAAGTTAATTTAAAGAAGAAAGTTAGGTTGTTGGGTAATATTTGAATTTGCCTATTGCTGTCTTATATTTTGTCTGACGTTCAAGTGCTGTTTAAAAAATAAATCAAGAACTCTGTGCAGTACTTACGTAGTTTTTTTCAATTACTCTTACTTTTTGATGGCGGCGCGGATACCCGCAGCGGCTCCTCTTGTTTTATGTTGTCTTGAGAGGGAAGAAATGTCAAATGTGCTGTATGTTACACATACAGCACATTTGACAATAAAGCTGTATCCAATCCAATCAAGTAATTATTTGGAGGTGTGCTTTTTACTTTTACTTGAGTAATATTATTTTAAACTAACATTACTCTTACTTGAATTTTTGGCAACTTTAATGTCATGGCTTCCTACGAGAATGTCAGTTTTGAATTAAACTAAACCCATTTTACACACTGAGTAAGTCAATTGCAGTAAATTGAGACTACGTTATCTTTATTTTGGTATTCATACGTTTTGTGACGTTTTTGTTTGGTGGTTTGCCGTGAGATTTGTTTCAAAGAGATTTTTTTTCCCGACTGTAAATGCGCGTCTTCGCTCAAAGAGGTTATGGAAGGGAACACTCGGCTGAAACAACAGTGACCACAGATTCAGCTCACGTGAACGCGCTAAGGCGCGGTCTCGTTAACCATCGGCTTCTTTCGGCATTTTTCGCCTTCCCGGGCAGTTTAATGGTTTAGTTAGCACAGCTGATTAGCTTGCTGCTACCCAGCTAATACCCGTCACTTATTCACCGTTTTCCCAACTAGGGCGGATGGCACAAGTGCTCTAACAAATGGCGGATGTCGAGGGGCACGCATTTTGTACACCGCTGCCTCAGCATTCATCGTATAACGGCACCCGGAGCGGCGATATCACGCCCGACGCCGGCGGCGGCTTCCAGACCCCGAGCACCACCGTGACGTCGGGCCCACGGCTCATCCGAATAGTCAAGTCAGACTCGGGCTACGGTTTCAACGTCCGGGGCCAAGTTAGTGAAGGAGGGCAGCTCCGGAGCATTAACGGGGAACTGTACGCCCCGCTGCAGCACGTCAGCGCTGTCCTGCCGGGAGGTGCCGCCGACATAGCCGGTATTTCGAAAGGCGACAGGATTCTTGAGGTGTAAGTGGAATCGCTTTCGTATGGACGCTGTGCTTAAAGGGTCACCCATGCTGTTAATTGTCTGTGTACAAAATGAACGGGAAAACAGTGAGTGCCACAGTTAAAGCTACCCTGAGATGGTGAATGGATTGTTTGTGTAAGGGTCATTCATTATACATTCTTGTCACACTCCTTCCATCTCAGCCCCACATACGTACACCCCCCCCTTTTTTCCCCATTTATGCATCCTTTTTATTGTACCATCACAGACAAGCTAGTCAACTCTCATCAGCATCACTAAGTTGTGACTGGCTAGCGCTCTAATATTTCACCGCATTATGCCGTGCTGTTGGGGGATTGGTGGCTGATGTTGGGCTCTGTTACTGTGGAGAGGGGCGTGCAGCAACCGTTTCAGCATCATCTCTGGGTTGTGTGCGTGCAAGGTATGCAGAAAGACAAGAACGGTCATCCCTGATTGGCTTTGCTCTGGCAAAGTTGCCATCTCATTGGCTGGCAGCTGCATGCCCGCTTTGTCGATGGATGGCCTACAGTAACCTGGCAGTTTGATTGACCCCGTTATTTCTGGGCGCTTGTTGTCCAGGTTTTGTCACTGCACCGAAAGAACTTGAAAGTCAAATGCTCTTATGCGATTAAAACATGCCTATGATGCCGAGAACATAGATGCATGATGCCAGCAATAGATGGGTCTGCTCAGAACAGTCTGGCCCATCAGTTTGCCTAGCTTCATTGTTTATTCTTTGACTACTACTGCACTTTGTTATTTGTATTTTACAGTCATTTGTATGCCCCGTGGCATTGTGCTGCCACAAAGTTGATTTTGTTACGAGACATCTGGTTTATGGTAAGCAAGGCTCTAAATTTTTTTTTTCTTTTAGGCGCAATTGCGAATCAAAGACTTCATTTGACGATCGATTTTGAGGAGCATTTTTTTTTTTGCAGGTTATTCCGATGGACCTGATGAAAAGGTTTTATTACACATAGAAATATGATAATATGACAAATGGACAATTGTTTTTCTTTTTATAAATATATTTTTATGCAAAAACTGGTGGCATGTGAAGACAAAAATGATTATAAATTAGTTAAATGTCCAGAGTACATTTACATTGACTAGAATGTGCCTTTTTGCACCTCCAGTTTTGCCAAGAGGGTGAAATCATAAATGACTAACAACAACAATGACAAAAGATCTCAAAGCAACAGATCCAAGGCAATAAATCATTCCCTGGAATCACGGGAAAACAACTGCCTTGATGGCACAGTGGAAAGTGCTGAAGCTGCAAGACCAAAAGTCACTGCATGAGGTGCTTATGAAGTCATAAAACCGCAGGATTGAAGTGCTGCCAAAGCGCTAACTCAGTGCTTTACAGTGGTCACCACTTTTTTGTCATGATACCTGGTTACTGCCTCTAACCCCCTGGCTTCATTTGTTGTATCTACATAGCATAACACTGAGCTGTGTGACATAATTACAGCTGACACCAGATCAGCTGTCAGTCACAAGTTCCACTGAAACGTTTCCTGTTAGTCTGAGTTCCAGATGACTATTGTTAAGGGATGTGCATATTGCTTCACTGCTGTTATCCTTGGCTTCGGCAGTACTACCATCTACAACACTAAACACCATCAGGTCTCTCTGGGAATGGTTTTAATTAGCTTAATGCACACTTTTGGCTGCTGCTTTACTATAAACATCTGCTCCACAGATTTAACAATATGCCGTCCTTGTTTCATGGTGGCTTTAAAATAATACATCTTAGAAAATTTTCACAAAAACACAACTTCCAATTTTCCAATTACAGCTGCAATTGTCCATTTTTAAAGTGCTCTAGATGTGAATGTGAGTTGCATAGACGGGGTGATGGCGTGTCTAAATGAGGCTCTTTTCCTCACTTCAACATTGGGTTTTGGCTGGCACACGAATGCCACATTATTCCGTAGTTATTGGATTAATTGTTGTTATCAACTTGAGATCAGCATCGTCACGTTCCACGTTATCTCTTTTGACTTTCAGTGTGTGTGGCTTTAAAAGGTGTGTGTGTGGGGGGGCTGGCCTGGTGAATGATGTGGGAATCAGTGAATAAGAATGTTGAGGTGGTTCCGGTTAGCAGCTGGCTGACCGTTAGCCAGTTTGTTGACTGTTGAGTGGCTGGCCCTCACTTGTGGCAAAGTTAGCAGCTGGCTGACCGTTAGCCAGTCTGTGTGTTGACTGTTGAGTGGCTGGCCCTCACTTGTGGCAATATCAGATCATATATCAATTATTTTATTATTATATATTTTTTAATGCTTACAATATGTTGTAACTCGTGGCGTTAGGCTCTATGATGAGCTAACATCGAAACAGGGCTTTGGCTTGGGCACTAAAAGTAATGTACATAATGTGAATGGGCGAATAGTGACTCGCAAACACAAATGTGTTCCTAGTTTCGATTTACCCTCTTCAAGTACAAGGGAACTCCTGAATGACAACATACTGTATGAAGCGAGAATGCTACTTTAGCTGACATCCTTTCAGATTATTCGTTCACTTTGTCACACAAAGATTTCAGGTCAATGATCAGTGTCAGACTCTTGTAAATGTTCAAGTGATCTTGTGCTAAAAAAAATTCCCCGGCGTTTCAACCAACTGTATTTTTTCTATATTTGATGGTATAAAATTGTGAATGTTGTAACCCTGTCAATGAATAACTAATCATTTTGCCCTCCTTGACATGTGTGTTTGTCTTTTCTTCCTTTGAATAGAAACAGAGTGAATGTTGAAGGCGCGACACACAAGCAGGTGGTGGACCTGATCCGGGCCGGAGAACGGGAACTGGTATTGACCGTGCTGTCAGTCCCGCCTCAGGAAGCCGATTGTCTGGCTGTGGGAGGCGCTGAGCTCCATCAGGAAAAGTTTGTGGTGAGTACATGAGAGGAAGATGGGATGTACTGGAAGGTTTTGGGTCAATGAGTCGATACATTGGAACCGCTAAAGTCCATTGCTAATCAAACAGGAAGCTGTTATTTGAGGAAATGTGCGATATACTGCAGTTATCTTTATTTAATGCTTCCCAGGTTCAACCCCATCTGTTCTCTCCCTCCAGGTATATAATGTCTTCATGGCGGGAAGGCAGCTCTGCTCTAAACGCTACAGAGAGTTTGTGATTCTACACCAAAACCTGAAGAGAGAGTTTGCCAACTTCACATTCCCCAAGCTGCCCGGGAAATGGCCTTTTTCTCTGTCGGAGCAGCAGCTGGATGCGCGACGTAGAGGCCTGGAAGAATATCTGGAGAGAGGTGTGGAGTGAGAAAGTATCTCTGCAATATCTTTGAGTGCACCTTGCAGCATGCATCCTAAATAAGTATTTATAAATATTTATAAACTCCCAATAGCATTTAGTGTTTTCACACTGAACTGGAAGGACTTATAAAACATCTATTTATTCCACTTTTACTTTTTTTATATCGTTTATCTGCAGTGTGCTCTGTGAGGGTCATTGGCGAAAGTGACATCATGCAGGAGTTCCTGTCAGAATCAGATGAAGTAAGAAATGACTGGTGTCCTCTAAAACTGCACATGCGTTTTGCTGCACTGCACTGTTACCTCACCGCATCTTTCCTTCTCATGATTTAGAACTACAACGGCCTGTGGGATGTGGACTTGAGAATAGCCGTTCCCGATAAGACCTCACTTACTGTGCGGGTTCGCAAAAATTCCACCACTGACCAAGTGTACCAGGTATCCAAAAAAAAAAAAAGAATCCTTCATCACATCACATCATAATCATCACCATCATATTCCATTTCATGCCCTACATCCTTGATCCCTTTCTTTGTCTTTCAGGCTTTGGTCATGAAGCTAGGGATTGATAGCGTAACAGCCAGCTACTTTGCACTCTTTGAGGTCATCAACCACAACTTCTGTGAGTAAATACTGGAATTGAACACAAAGTATGACAAGAAAAAAGAAACTGAAGTGGAGGAAATAAAGTGAAACCTTTTTAACAACAGTCCAGGCATTGTTTTCAGTATCACACAAGTCATACAGTATAAATATAGGGGAACCACTTCATAATAAAATACAATTAAACAAAGGAAGCAAAACTACTCACATTGACTGTAAGTAATAAATATAAAATGTCCATTAAATAATATTTTTTTAATCAACCAAAAAAACCTTTTACATAGACATTTAAATTGTTATTTTACCTCAATTACTAACCTGGCCCATTTTCAAAATCATAATCAATTGTGGCCCTTGTGCATGATGATAATTCGAACTCCATGTTTTCTTTATCTTTTGAGGCATATTTGTCTACTATGTTTGGAATTTGTTGGCTTTCTCCAGCTGATCTCTTTTCTTTTGTTCAGTACGAAAGCTTGCCCCCAATGAGTTCCCCCACAAGTTGTACGTGCAGAACTACACTTCAGCCATCCCGAGAACCTGCCTCACAATGCGCAAGTGGCTCTTCACTACCGAAGAGGAGACGTTACTCAATGACAACCAACTTGCTGTCTCCTACTTCTTCCACCAGGTGAGTTATGTTGGATTTCTATGTGCGCGCTGTCATGGTGGGACATATATTTCTCTCCCTCTAAAGCGATTTCTCTTTTTACAGGCCTTGGAGGATGTCAAGAAAGGTTTTATCAAAGTAGAGCAGAAGTCCTACCAGCTGCAGATGGTTGCAGAGCAGAAAAATATGTCCATGGTCAGTCTCGCATCTACAAAAACACCACAGTAAAAGTTTTACAGTAGCTTTCCAATCCACGTTTGTCAGAACTCGTAAAAGTAGGTCAATGTTTTCTCGGAAATCTCTGCTCCTGAAGTGACCATTGGATTATAGAACAATGGCATTAATTACTTTAATTATATTCTGTACACAGCTTTCACATTCAAAAGATGGTAAGTTCAATTTTGCCAAATAGGTCATTTAATTTCTTGTTTCATTCTTCACAAGAGCATCGGGGTTCAAAGTGTGCAGAACGGGGGTGCAGAAATATTTGGACAATGATGTCGTTCTTATAATTTAGCCTATTGAAAACCGCAGTGAATTTGAAATAAAACAATGTAGATGTCATCGAAGTATAGATATTCGGCTTCAGTTCAAGATGTTTCACAACATTACAATTGCATCCTTTTCAAATAGTAGTGAACCTCACTTTTCAAATACAGCAGCTGCTTTCATACGTTTTATGAACATGAGCTGCCTTATGACCACAGACATACTGTGCAGTTGTTTACAGCTACTAGAGGCACATTTATTTCATTTTATTGGTGCGCCCAAGGCAAACCCAGTCATAAGACCCTCCGCATCCCTTTAAAGTGTGAATTTACGGAAATTCTCTTGAGCTAGGAAATGAGTGACTCATCTCAACACTTTTCCTGTAATTGATAACATTAATCAACATATACATTCTAAGAAGATGGAATAGTCCATTGCAAGAGAGGGGAAATGGGAGCTCTCCCGAGGTTCGTGGTACATGAAATATTTCGATATGTTTTTGAGTGTGTGAATTAAGCCCAGAGCAATAGTAATTCCTTTAAAATGAAGAAAATGTTATTAATCCGTTTTTATTGGCCTTTTGGAAGGGACTGTATATAACTGGGTCGTAAGCCAGATGCTGCTTCACCAAGCCGAAGGACAAATGTGATCACCTAGTGGACTCGATTTAAAATCCATTGTGGCAAACTAAGTGTAAAACTAAAAACAATCTGTCAAAAAAGATCCGAAGTTTCATCACGTTTCAAGTCATGTTTAAACCTGCGATGTCCTTTCCCTTTTGTTCTTGCAGTATCTGAGCTTGCTGAGAGGCTGTGATGGCTACAATGAAATCTTGTTCCCTCACTGTTCGTGCGACTCCAGACGTAAAGGCCACGTCATCGCAGCCATCAGCATTCAGCACTTCAAGCTGCACGCCTGCACAGAGGAGGGGACAATCGAGGCAAGGGCAACTCTTTCTTAGTGTGCGCCACTTAACTTTAGACATACACTCTCCAGGCACGTCACAAGGTACACCTGCACAATCTAATGAGATCCAATCCAGGGGCCATTTATGAAACAATACTGGCCTCTGCTCTAATAGATGCCCTTGCTGCTCCTGGTTACTGGATGTGTCATTCCCTTGAAGAATAAACACTGTATGCCTCAGCAAAAAAAATAAAATCCAGGTGGTACTATCAGGGGGCAGTAACTTCCTTTACTTTGATACTTGATGCTGACCTTGAGTTAAGCAGATGCCAACTGCAAAAAGCTGTTCCACTCAATGAGTAAAAAAAATATATACATTCAGTGTCCAAGTTGGAGAGATAATTTAACAAGAAACAGTCTGTTATTATTGTGGTTAATGCTTTCAGTGAAGTACTGCTTTGCATCATACTAAGTGCAGCTCATATTTTGTCCCCGTTCTTAAATTGTACAGCTAAATTATTATTATACAAATTGACTTTTTTTTTTCATCGATTGGATTTACATAAGGGTGGCCCGGTGGGCGAGTGGTTAGCGCGTCGACCTCACAGTGCAGAGGTATCGGGTTTGATTCCAGCTCTGGCCTTCCTGTGTGGAGTTTGCATATTCTCCACCATTTCAATTGGTAACCCCGGCATAGTCTATTTTAAATATATATTACCTACAGGAGATTACTTCCATCAGATCTGTATTATAATCTAATCAGACTTTTTGATGCAGATCTTGATTTGGATCAAATGCAGGTGTACATATAATGGACTCCAATGTGCTTTCAGAACCAGGTGATTGCCTTTGAGTGGGGGGAAATGCAGAGGTGGGACACAGACGAAGAGGGCATGGCCTTTTGCTTCGAGTATGCGCGGGGGGAGAAGAAACCACGTTGGGTCAAGATATACACACCTTATGTGAGAAGACATCCCTTTGTTTTGGTCATTTAATCACAGGAAAGAAGTGGAATTATTTTGCACTCGACCACAAGTGACTTCTTATTTGTCATTCCAGTTTAACTACATGCATGAATGCTTCGAGAGAGTTTTCTGCGAGCTCAAGTGGAGAAAGGAGGTAAGGACCATCCAGTTTTGGATGCTTCCCACAACAGAGCGCTGGATTTCTCTTACGAAGAAAAAACAACAAGGGAGGGCAATGAGGGTTTGCCAAGCACTGTGAGTTTTGTTCAAGAGTACAGCAGGTTAATGGCGCAGGTAAGCTAGGGTTAGCATGTTTGTGTTTTTTTTTTTTTTTTTTTTTTTTTTTTTTGTGTGTTTGTATTTCGAGCCGTATACCCTCAAATGACAAGGACGCGGTAATGCTAGAAGTTTACATCACAAAATGTACAGTGGTACCGTGACATAGAGGTTGAAATTGGTCTGTGGCCAAGCTCCTTGCTCAATTATTCATATAACAAATCGATTTTCTCCATTGAAATGAATTGCAATCAATTCCAGCCACCATTTTTTTTCAACTATGTATAAAAGCATAACAAATGATAATGGAAAGAAATTTGCTGCTTTTATCAAGTAGTTAACTGAGCATTCTGTAGTATTGGTGTTTTGGATATGTGCCTACAAGGGGGCGTGGCTTAGTGAGCGACATCAGGAACTGGAGTAAAGTTGCCCGGTTAGTTCAGTGTTAGCATCTGGGCGTGAGTTGTGGCCTTCAGCAGCTCTTTTAGAATGTTCTAATTTTGCATATGCGCGTTTGAACAATGCCGTGTTTGGTAAGAAATGTGGCATCTTTTGATATCTGAAAAGTAGTGATATTGCAGAGGTGACGATTCCACCAGACAGCAATGTTATGTACATGCTTTTGCCAATGGAAAAGTGTCATGAGTAGAACCAAGCAGTGGATGAAAAAAAAAAAAAAACAATCCACTGCTTTTTCAATGTCCACAGGTGGAGGAGGAGTCCACGGACAAAGACAACAAGAACGTCTCCCACGACGGTATGTGTGGCAAGGTAAGGCTACAGTATGCCTGCCTCTGTCCCAATAACCAAAAGCCTGACATGATCTTTCCTCTTTTTTTTTCCTCGGGTCTATTACTGACCCCATCCTGTTTGATGTGGCAGAATATTTTCCAGCTGCTGAGGCATCGAAGGGATGGAGGCACCCAGCAAGAGAGATCGCTATCGCTTGACTACGCGGCAGAATCCTCCGCTCTACCCGGCCCAGCCCTCTTCTGAATGCAGAGACGCTTGCTCGGCTGTTGAGGACATAGTCAGCATTTACGCTTCCATCCAGCAGATCCCCCAATTCCCATTCATAAGACCCAGCAAAACATCTGCAAAACAACAAAACATGTAGATAACTTTTGAAATCCAGCATTTTATCAGGCATTGGGCGCCTCAAGAACAGCTTCACTAAAGTGCGGACAACTTAAGGCAGGTAAGTTCGCCTCAATAGACTAAGCTGAACAGACAACTCTTTTGAAACTTTTGAAAAGGGAAACTGGAAAATCTGGAGCATGGAACCATGATCCTCAGGCAGGCTTGGCATGTTGTAACGGGTTGTAAAAGCGCACGGGAACTGATCATGCAAGAAAAGGTCTTGTCAAATAGATGCAAAATAGGCTCGTCAGACCCCCAACAAGATACGACAGCCTTTGGCTTTTACACAGAGCTACAAGCAAAGCAAGATATTGCTGAAACTGTGTGTGCGTTCACACGGTGACGCGGTGTCACGCAATTACATAAACGCGCGACAACGTCTACAGTATGGCGGCTATGGTGCGGATATTACGTGTCAGTGTTATTCATTAGTCAAGCTCAGCAGAATCTGTGATTTTGTGTTTTTAATTAATTTATCCTTTTGTAATGTGGCAAATGGCGGCCCGGTAGTCCAGTGGTTAGCACGTCGACTTCACAGTGCAGAGGTGCCGGGTTCGAATCCAGCTCCGGCCTCCCTGTGTGGAGTTTGCATGTTCTCCCCGGGCCTGCGTGGGTTTTCTCCGGGTACTCCGGTTTCCTCCCACATTCCAAAAACATGCATGGTAGGCTGATTGAACACTCTAAATTGTCCGTAGGTGTGAGTATGGTTGTTCGTCTCTGTGTGCCCTGCGATTGGCTGGCAACCGATTCAGGGTGTCCCCCGCCTACTGCCCGGAGACGGCTGGGATAGGCTCCAGCTCCCCCCGCGACCCTAGTGAGGATCAAGCGGTTCGGAAAATGAATGAATGAATGAATGAATAATGTGGCAAATGAAAGAAGACGAGAAAATAATCCGGTTTTGGAAAGGTTGTTCTAAACTGAGGAATACAGTCTAACTAGTCAAATTTGATCCGTGACCATGCTAATATCTCAGAACACTTTGAACTCAAGTGAACTTTGGAAGTTCCCTTACAACGTTGCAGCATCACATTGTGCTGCGAAATCAGACGGAGACACACATGAAGAGTTTCGCTACTGACCCAGTAACCGGCAATCATAGCAGTCTTAGTTTTTTGGGGGCAAGATTAAGAAAACATAATTTGACTGCCTTCATTTGTTCGTTCTCCGTTTGTCGTCGGATGTCCGTTGCTAAACGGTTTTACCACATCATGACACCAGTACTGTTCTTAAACCCGTTTATGGCGTTTTACATTGCGCGTTACCATTAAGCTAGCGGAGATTCTTAAGGCAAAGTTTTGAGGTTCTTTTAAATAAACCACCCGGAATTCTTTTTTTGTTTGACCTTATTGGCATGAAGCAGCTCAAAGTCTTTTTTTGAAGACTCGTTGACTTCTTTTGAAGCGAGTTGAGTTGAATTTGCCGCCACCACCTTGCGCTTGTATCTTGCAGTTTTGCCCAAAAGCAAAAATCCAAGTCGCTTAGAATTCAAGGAACCACCGTACATGCAAGACGTCTCGGATGGGTTGACGCTTTATCCACAAGGATGACAGGATGCCATCAACTGCGGTTATAGAAAGTGAGCCCCTGTCAAAATAGCAGGTTCTTCTGACACCATGATAAACTCTCTCGAAACATCTTTTCTGACATTGAACTGATCTGAAAACTGTGAGACCTAAACAATTGTTGAAGCACCGTTTGATTTCATGAGAGTATTCAGCCGTATTTCGGTCGTCGTCTCTCAGCAAGTGCTCCAAATGTGTCAGATTGCGAGGGCACAGCCCATTTCCAGCTTTTCAATTGGATTTAGGTCAGAATTTTCTTGATCACTTCCTCCCTTGACGGTAGAATGCAGTTTGCACTGTCGTTTACTTGAAATTGTGACTGACTGGTTAATAAGCCACTGCATGTTCCACATTGACCCACCATTGACCCTCATATGTTTATAGGATTGTATAAACAAGCCTAGGGCTTACTCTTTGTGGGGCATTCGCCTGAGAAAAAGTGACAGTCGTTTCCTCCGAGCTGTGTGCATGACCCAGACAGAAGAGCAGGGGCCCTTCTCCATCTGCTGGCTCCCCCACCGGCAGTGATTACCTTGTCCACACGATTGATAATCGGTCTTAATTCAAACAATTTATCACTGCAGATGCGTCCTCGCTTCGTGGTGTAAATGTCTCATACTCCCTCGATTCAGACAGCGTTTGACAAATATTTACAACAGCACGAAAGAAATTCATGCTAATTAAATGTAAAGATACTGCACTTTCGAGAAGGCAGAACACGCTGTAGTTGCAGTCTAATGTAATGAACTGTCTAATTTAATATCCTGTTATTGTTTCCCGGAGTAATCTAATTCAAACGGCACCGGAATGATGTATGGCAAATGAGGAATGTAATACGAGATTGTAATTACAGTTTAGCACATTATTCAAACAAAATATGCAACATTAACATCCATGAAACATGAATACGTAGAGATATTTGTTATTATTTGTATCTCGAGTCATTTACGAGGGAAAAGTAGTTATTGTTGTAATCAAAACCGATCCCTCATGTTTTCTTTAATCAGTGTCGTGAATGATGATGTCATCAAAACGAAGCCAGGCACTTACAGAGAGCTCAGGAGCTCCAACAGGAAATTTGTTTCAAAATTCTGCCTTATCATGATAGTAATGCTTCGCCTGATCATAGGGTTAATTATTTCAAGTTTTGATGTCCCAATATGTTAGATTGTAATTTGATGGCGTTGTCGGACCAGCGTTTCTCCACATCCGCACTTAAATTGCTTCTTACTTTAAGAATGCAAAAATGTTCATTAAAACATAGCCTGGAGACTTAATTAACATTTTATAATGCCACCTGTTTAAGCCTGCAACAAATTAATTCACTATGCATTATTTGCCGTGGGGGTTGGGGGAAAATTACTTTAAAAATACCTCAGAATTCTTGTCACAGAAGTGAATGTACTGAACCTTTTAGTTTTCACTGACTATAAGTCAATCTTTTTAAAGTTCCTGTGAAGTGGAAATAAGTTTTGCAAATTTGACACACCACAGAGCGGGATGAACAACCCTGCCACATTTGAAGGATTAAAAAAAAAATTGCCAGGTATACATAGTTCATCATGCCTTCTCTCCGTGACATGAGCGCACTCACAGCAGGTAATGTGGCGCTCTAAAGCGGTTATGCAAGCCCAGAGCCCCGGTCTACACACTGGCTGTCAAGTCGGATTTGTTAAAACATTATTTTTCGCCCTTCCGCCGATCTCTGGGTAGTGCACTTGCACTCACAGCTGACAACGAGGCGTTCTAAAGTTGCTACGCCATAGGACTATCCAAAGGGAAGATGCGCGATTTGAGTGCTGGCATAACTCGCTAACGAACTGCAGGTCACAACTGCACTGAATTGCTTAAGCCGGGGGTCGACAACCCGCGGCTCTGGAGCCGCATGCGGCTCTTTAGCGCCGCCCTATTTGCTCCCTGGAGCTTTTTCCAAAATGTTTGAAAATGGAAAAAAGATGGGGGAGGGAAATATATTTTTTGTTTTAACATGGCTTCTGTAAAACAAACCTGACACAAACATTCTTAACGTTTTCCAATGCTGTAAAAATGTGTAGAATAAATATTAAATTTCAACATTTCTGTCAACGAAGATTTGCGCCGTTATTTTAGAGACTGCTAAAACAAAAAACAAGAACACTGAAATTGTGAAAATCAGTTTCATGCTATTGCTCCTCAATTGAATACTGCATAGTTCTCAGTCTTTGCACATTTTCAGCAATTATCTTTGTGTGATGTATTTCGAAACCAACTTCTGAATTCACTCCAAAAGGTCTTAAATAGCTGCCCTCATTAACAAATGGAATTGCAATAGTCATTTTTTGAAAGTGTTATACTCTCTCTCTCTCTCTCTCTCTCTCTCAAACTGTTAACCACCACGATCATTTTTGCTGAAGTTAGTTTATCAGCAGTTTTTTTTTAAACTGCTGCGCCTCACACACTTTAAAAAGAAACAAAAAACACTGCTCTCAAGCACTCGGTGATAACAAGGTTAATGCATCTTGCAAGATGTTACTTTCCTTTAAAAGTGATTAATGAACATCAACAGAGTCCTGTGAAGGTAATTGAATGTGATTAGCTTCAAAATGATCGCTTTGACTTTGCCGGAACCATTTTTGCAGGATTCTCTTTGTTTAATGGGCCGTGTCTGATGTTCTCGATTATGCGTGCACGTCTCTTTTTCACTCGCTCGGTCCCGCTTGAGACTATTTTGTCGCCTTGATTATTTATTGACTAATGATATCAATTTCTGTATCGATGATCATTATATCCCCTCTTCCCTCGGAAAAAAAAATGACTGGCAACCTGCAGATTGTTGGCATATTGTAAGAAATTGTAAAGTATTCTTTTAAATAAAACCGTTTTATTGAAGCACAGGTTACCCTCTTTTTCTTTTGGATGAACCCCTGGAATGGGACTGATCCTGTTCGGGGGGATTTTCCGCCAGTCCGCCCACTTGCTTCTCTCAACCCGCTCTCTTCTCATACAACTCCTCGTCTCCAACTTCCCTTAATGAGATGTGGGAAACAAATACCCAAAAGCGGAGAAAGGGCCGTTCCTTATCGACCCGCATCAACTCCCCATCGTAAAATAATGAATAGCTATCGACTGCTGCTGGCGTACAATATGATCCCAGGAAGTGAGTTAAGAAAACATGCCGTGGAAAGAGAGATGATCAATCAAAAAGTTTTCCATTAGACAAATATAACACACTTATGGAAACTCAAATCATAATAATGTTTTTGCAGTAACATGTTATTTGTGCAGACAATATCAACAAACTTTTCGGATGAATATTGCATTCATGAATAAGAATTAAGATTTCATGCGAATTATTGAAGTGTGCTCTCAAGTCTCGTGTTGTGATGGCAGTGCCATGAGATAGCTGAAAATAGATGGATTGTTTTGCTTTTAATTTGTATTCCACTGACACATTCACCAGAATATTGTGGGCATATTGAATATATTATTGTAAGGAAAATGTTTGCCTTGAGGCCCCCTTTAAAAATAAAAACACCAGAGGACGTGCTGCATCTCCGACCACTGGCAGACACAAGACATACGTATGCATCCAATCACAATTATAGTCTTCTGATTAACTTACTTTTTTCGGATTTCCGACAGAACCAGACATATCTCCTACATAAGGTGTTTTCGTGTTTAAAGGTTTGTAATTGTTTTTTTTTTCTCATGTATTTCAATGACAATTATCATTCATCACACTTCTTGAATGTTCATGCGCCAATTCCCCATTTTTGCGTCAGATGTCTGGGTGGGAGAATACAAGTAGTTTAAAAGTGCATAAGAGGTTAAAAGAGACTTGCACACAAACGGGGGAAAAAAAAAACATGCACGATGAGTAATTTTCTGTGAAACATTTTAATGTGCAAAAAAATATATACATGTGAAAATTCCTAACCCATCACTTCCTGCTTCTGTGTGAAACAGCAGTGACGAAGCAAAGAGTTCTACTGACTGCACGTGTAGACCATCTGCACAATGGCACTCATGACACCACACCGCGCGGTGACCGAGGTATCGTCGCAGTCCATCGGGTGGAAGTTTTCCGAGCCCTCGACAAAGTTTTTGTAAATGCTTTGGACCATTTTCCAAGCGGAGTCCAAGCACATGCGGGCGAGATCACCCCGCGCGATGTTTTGATGCAGGACGGGGATGGAAGCCAGAGCGTCGACGAGCATACTTCCTATCTCCTTGCTGGCGTCGTCAGCTCTTTGGGACAACGTTGCCGTGATGGGTTTCTCATTGCCAGGTGGCTCCAGCTCCTCCAGAAGGATGTCCAGAGCCAATTCTGTGATCTTCTGCGCCAGGGTGCCGGTAGCACGATGAAACAGCGGGTAAAAAAACAGTCTTTGTACCCCGGTCATCTTGGTCTTCTCCAATGACCTCATCAGCTCCTTATACAGATGGCAGAGGAAGGTCTCAGTGTCCCGTTCGACGTGGGGCCGCAGTACTGTCAAGTACGTGTCGAGGCCTTGGAGTGTGACCTTTTGGAAGACAAACGGGTAAGCGACCCAATCGTTGCACGTGGTTTCATTAAGGGTAGGAAATATTTTCTTTACCTTCCTCTCGAGCAATCGCGAAAGGCGTTCCTCTTCGTTGAGTTCAGTGTAGACTTCTTTTTGTATTCTATTCAAGTGCAGGATCCTTTCCATTGTCCAGGCCTGTACACAGCAAACACAGTCACAAATGAAAAAGAGGCATCTTGACAGAATGTTTCTCAATTTAAAATTGTCCCAAATAAATGATTAGCAGATACACAACACTTGTCTTAAAATGCATTTATGAATACATTTGAGACTAAATAAGACGAAAGAGCCTCAAAAATGAAAAGCTTATGTATTTCAGTAGTTCAAGCCAAAAAGTGAAAGTCATCTACTGTATTTTATAAATGAATGAAGCACATTGAAATGAAAACATTTTAGCTGTTTTAAAAAAAAAACAATGTTGATTGTTTCTCATGGAATATTGCAATTTCTTGACTTCCTCCAAATTCTTAAAAGGAAATATTTCACTCTGTATATCATATATATGCAACAATAGTATCAAAACGATGCGCTAAAATAAATTGTTTTCCACAATTTTCTTAACATGCAGCAACACTGGTAATTGCAAACATTAACTGGAAGTATAATGTGCTCTTGTAATTGTAAACATGAAGTATAATTGCTCATTCAATATCACAACTATTCTGTACTTACCACTTGAAGCATATAAAACATCCTGGCATCCATCCTCATTTGCATCTCCTGGTACCTATCAAATTCACACAGAGTTATTTCCACACGCAGCCAACCTTTTGGATTTACCCACGCACAGACATGACACACACTCTACTCACTCTTGCTGGAAATTTCTTTTCTTCAGCAACCACACCTTCATGTCTTTGGGCGAGAGACATGGTGGTACTCGATTTTCCTTGGCCAAGAGCACAAACTGTCTCATGAACGCTTTCTGTCAACACAAACACAAAACGTGTTATTGATATGCTCCACCAAGACAGATTATTCGTAGTACATTTCAAAATCTTTTACCTCCGCATTGCACATTCGTTGCTCATTTTCTGTTAAAGAAGTCATCTCGGTGAGCTCTTCAAGCAGGTTAAAGGCCTCATCGTTAAAGTAAGGTCTTGGGAAATCAGATTGTAGAACATAACAAAATATTGAGTATCATGGGAATGCAATACCAAACATATTAAAAAGCCTCCCGTGAGATAAAAACAGATCAGCAATATGAAAAAGGGTGCAATATTTCAGTCTGGTCTATATTTTACACGAAATAATTTCCCAGCATCTTCTGCACGGGTAAGTAAAGAAAACTTCATGTGGCAATTGCAACTTAAAATAACTCATTTTTGAATTTTTTTTTTCTCAACAAATGTAATCTTTCGTATAAGTTTATATACAGTACCTGATAGAAGATAGATTCCCCATTGTTGAAGTCCTCTGAGTGTTCCGCGCGTTTCCGCTTGTCTTGGAATGATTATGTTTGCAGAGTCTAGTTCTATATTTCTACACTGTCTGGGGCTTAAACGTGCGAAGGCCCTTTCATCACTTTGATGTAAAACTCGCCCTTTCATCGTCACCACTGTCATGTCACAAAGAAACAGCTCCTCCTTTGTACGTCATGCGCCTCTCCACCTGAAGATCTCTCGGAAAAAGCTTTTATGAAGTCTGATATTCAAATATGTTCCAACGGGTATTTTCTCAACGAGCGGTTGTCCTAATATTAAAAACCGGCAACTTTTCACTGCGGTCACGCCAGCCTCCACTCGCAAAATTGAAGCCAAGTGAGCCGCCATTGCGATTGTCAATACTATGCATTTCCGCAATCTGCCGCCAGCGAGTGGCGTTGGCCACCTTCAAAATAAAAGCGTGACAACTAATACATGCACGTCAGTGGTTTGGATTTTTAAAAAATGTTCCAAATTCAATTCTCGGCTGTCGAACAAATATAAAGTCACCCACGGAGAATAAAAACTCTCAGAAAAGCGCCAAGAGGCGTTCTCAAGTGGAGAATAAAAAAATAAAAGTAAATGGTTATTCTCCATCAATTTCACCTGATAGTTAATAAATCATGAAAAAACGAATCTCAGTTATCCTAACATATATCAGATTTGTATAACTAAATAATCAATTTAACTTTTGTCCAAGGACACCAACCATAAAGATTATTTATTAATCTGTTGGTTTGTTTGCAATTCCACTTTCAAACGTCTCAACCTGCTGTCTTGCTTGTTATTGCAGCATGCGAAGGAAGCGTTTCAGGGGTTGGTCACGTGATGTTCCGCAAATAGCACAAATATTAATAAGCATAAATTGATGTACAGTTCAGAATACATAGAACTTCGTAGAAGTCACGCCGATTTGCCGATCGTTTAACCCAGGGGTCGGCAACCCAAAATGTTGAAAGAGTCATATTGGAAACAAAAAAAAAAAAATATATATATATATATATATGTGTGTGTGTGTGTATGTGTATAAATGTCTGGAGCCGCAAAAAAAGTCAAAGCCTTATTTAAGCCTTACAATGAAGGCAGCCCATGCTTTTTGTTGGTTTTTTTTGTTGTTTTTGTCTTTTGTTTTGTTTTGTCACATGGTGGTGGTGTTACTCATGTGGACCTGATGTGGACTGTTTTCAGAATTTTTGTCCACGACATTCTTCAAAGTAGAAGAATCTGTGCTTGGTGGTGGTACCTTCCCGGCAGCACATGTGTACCAGCACTGATTTTTTGACTGTCGTTGCTGAACAGCCCCGGGGCGCTTGTGTTTTGCGCCTGTAATGGGCAGCATTTTCACAGACCCGCTTTGTTCAGCGAAAAGGTCGGTGCTGATGGACAGTCTGCGGCTGGAACGAAGCATGGCTTGAGGAGCCGACGATGAGAAGAAAGGAGCATCAGCGCGTAACGCCGATGCGTATGTGGAACTGGTAGTCGTGGCTTGGAATTGAAGCGGATTTACATGGGACAGGAGATGAGAGCCAATCTCTTTTTCGTTAATGGACGCTACAGCTTCTTGTTGCTTTCAAACTTAGCTTGAAGCAGACGTGTGTACATTTCATCATGACGTCTTTGATGCACTGGTGAAAAGGACACTTTGATTCGCTCCTCTTTCATCTATAACTGCTTCAAACAACAAAGTGTATGACGAAAAAGTGGTTAAGATTGCACTACTGTTTGTGTCTTACGTGTTGTGTTGTATTATTTTGTCATTTTATGTTAACTGTTCTTTTGATGGCGGCGCGGGCACCTGCAGCGGGTTAATTATCAATCATTTAAAAGTGTAAAAGCCTGTTTGCTAATTTTCTACTGCCGAGTGAATGTTGTATCTTTTTGTCAGAATTAAACAAAAGGTGTTTCTTTAAAAGTATCTGCCGTTGATTTAATACAAATTTATACAATACATTACAGTACATCCTGATTTATATTGCGATTTCAAAACAGCTGCAGCTGTAACAAAGCACTTAACAAAACAGTTAACATAAAGTAAAATAATAAACACAACACATGACATAAAACAAGGACAGTCGTGCAATTCTAACCACTTTTCCCTCATATGCTTTGTTGTTTGAAGCAGTTCTAGATGAAAGAGGAGAGAATCAATGTGCACACGTCGGCTACAAGCTAAGTTTCAAAGTCAACATGAAGCTGTAGCATCCATTGACAAAAAAAAAAAAAAGAGAGATTGGTTCACTTCTCCTGTCCCATGTAAATCCATTTCAATTCCAAGCGGCGACTCTCAGTTCCAAATACGCATCTGCGCTCTGCGCCGATGCTCCTCTCTCCTCCTCATCAACTTCCGCAGCCATCCATCCAGCCGCACCAACGAAAACTGTCCAACAGCGCCGACATCTCCACTGAACAAAACGGGTCTGTGAAAAATGCTGCCGATGATCTGAAAAAATATTGGCAATGAACATCCATGTTATAAATGCCAGTATAGCAAGACTTAATTACTGTGAAGAAACACATCTTTCCACTGAAAATGTGGGCAGTTTGTTTTATTTGCCAATGGAAAAAAAAAAAGATTGAAGAGCTCAGACTTCATGTTCATGCATGCGGTATGCGACATGATATGTCACATGACACATTTTTCATGCAGTTCTCATGTCTTCCGGTTTCGTTTATGTTGCTTGGTCAAACAGCAAACGGCAAATGTGTCTTAAAAAAACATGAACAGCAATTGTGCTTGCTTTGTCCAGTCTGTCTGGTTGTCTCTCAGAGGAAGTCTTTGGCCAGAGCTTCTCCAAAGTTAGGTGCGGCCATGAGAATGGCGATGGTGCAGATGATGTTGAAAATGCTGAATCCGACCAGACACAGGCGGTCGATGACGGCTGCGGCAAACTGCCATTGCTCGGCGAGACTGAGCTGCCGGTCCTGTTCGCGAACCCGTTCTACCAAGAACTGCACTTCCGTGAGAAGAGCCTTGAGCTGGTTGTCCACTTCCCTGCTTCCATTCAGACCACTTTGGGCATTTGAGGGATCAGCCCTCCCTAAGCCCATCCCAGCATCTTCTCCACACGACCCTGGAGACGTGGTTGTTGAGACAGGGTTTAGCGACAATGGCGTTTCCTGCGATTTGCCAAATGAAAGATGTGGATGACTCGGCATATCTCCCCCTCCGTCTAATGCTTCTCCATCTTCGCCTGCTGGTGCGTAGGAGCCTCTCATTTGACTGTGACTCTGAGTTTCCAGTTCTGCTGTGGACGGAAAGGTCTGAAACCCCATGTAGGGCAGATGACCATTCGGTTGAGGATGAAAATTAGGGCTCGGTTCTCTGTGGATGGCATGTGGGAGAATGATGCACCCGTGTGGTGCTGAGTGGTGGAGCTGAGCCAGGCTGGCTCTAAGGGAGGCGAGGCTCTGAGGGAGGATGGAGGTCAGCTGGGTGGTGGTGGCAGGTGAAGACAGGCTTTTGCTCTGACTTTCTCCCTGGCTGTGATGAAGCTCTTGTTCGGCTCCATCACCTGGACGTTTCATCCGGAGAAACCAAGGAACCCACTGCAGCAAAACCAGGTTAACCTGTGAAACAACAGAATAAGAGGAATCAACTAGCTTTTAAACCACAATGTGTCCTACCAGGCGTCCTCCAAATGTTTATAAGATGTCATATACATGCACCAGCCATCCCTTTTTTATAATTCTTGTCCTCAATAGCGTCTCAGTTGAGATCGAGCCAATCCTTGATGGCACCGGACAAGAGTCCGGGTACACTCGGGTTACAAGTCCACTGCAGAGCACCATCCAGCCATCACAAATTTACCTATTCCTATGTTCTTCTGTGGAACCTATCTTCAGCTATTAGATGAAAACTTCACCTATTTACAGTTTTTATGATGGTTCTTAAATACCCTGATATGCCACCAAATATTGGCATTAATCGCCCTCCTCAGTTTCCCCAATCCACGTTTGTTTTGTTGAGTACCCGCATTTAGTAGGTTCCTGATGTGTCACCTACCCATGTGGTTTTTGTACAAGCTTGAAAACAGAATACAACGAATAGCTCTCACCTTTGCGCTTTCTTGCTTGGTAGAGGTAACAACATGAAGGATTCAACTCACCCAATGTGGTATTTTCCCATTCTTGGGGTTATGGTGATGGAATTGAAGGACAAAGACTGTCGCCACAACGGACATTCCAACAATCACCATGGTGCTGGCAAAATATTGACCTGTGTTAGACACAGTCAACAAGGTCAGTTTTCCTGAAAATCCATTGAGACCAGTGTCAAACTGCAAAGAAATTAAGAAACTAGCCTATGAGTGGGATGGAATCTGAAGTAGCGGGCATGATCTCAGCAACCATCAACATGAAGACTGTCAGGGAAAGTAGAACGGTAATGCCTGGAAGAAAGAGATAAAAAAAATAATCATCTTTAATAGAAGAGTCAGTGTACAGGGGTACCTTCAAGTTGGAGTTGAAACCTTTATCATGTTGGATGAAGTGACAGCACACCTCCCCTGACCTCATTTCAGCAAGTGTCAAAAGGATGAACGCTGCGTGTGTTTAGCATTTTACCTGGGGTATTTGCAACAGTTACTGTGACATAGTCAAGTCAAGTCAAGTATAACTTTATTGTCAAATGTGCAGTATGTGCAACATAGAGCACAGATGAAATTTCTTCCCTCTCAAACAGACAAGACAACAAGAGGAGCCGCTGCGGGTGCCCGCGCCGCCATCAGAAGAACAGTTAAAATAAAATGACAAAATAATACAACGCAACTCATGAGACACAGACAGTCGTGCAATCTTAATCACTTTTCCTGCATACACTTTGTTGTTTGAAGCAATTATAGATGAAAGAGGAGCGAATCAAATTGTCCTTTTCAAAAGTGGATCAAAGACGTCATGATGAAATGTGCACACGTCTGCTACAAGCTAAGTTTGAAAGCAACGAGAAGCTGTAGCATCCATTAACAAAAAGAGATTGGCTCTCATCTCCTGTCCCATGTAAATCCGCTTCAATTCCAAGCCGCGACTTGTTTTAAAGGGTCAAGTTATATCATGGAAACTTTTTGTTGCTTATACTGTATACCCATAGTTGGATCAGTAGCTCCACCATTAAAGGCAAAATGAAACCATCAAATACATTTTGTCTGCCTGTTTCTGAAAATGGATACAGAGGTGCCTTTGAACAAGGTTAGAAAAGTCGCATTAAGTTTTGTTGATTGCCCGGTGAAGTTGTCAGTGTGATGGGCATATGCCGGTTCATGTGCCACATACACGTGTGAACTGCTGCCTCAACAAGTGACATTTTTTTTCCATTTCCATATGCCTTGGCGAACATGATCCCTCTTTAAAAGCCAAAGACTCAGGCAGTCCAGTTTCAGTGTCATAATAGTTGAAGCTGGCCAGTTATAATGTGGATGCCGAAGCAGAAATGTCACTTGTGTTAGCCGTTTTTTTTTTTTTTTGGCAGCTGTAGCTCATTTGTTTGAGCAGGTCATCCAGCGACTTAAGGATCACGAGTTCAAATCCGAGTTGTGACTGCATGCTGTTGAAATATCCTTGGGCAAGACACTGACATTATTTGCTCCCAGTAGGTATTTAGTAGCCGCCCTTTGGTGCATGAAATGTACTGTTAAGTGCACTCCAATTATCGTTTCAACTCTTACTGTGAAATGTTGGTTGGTTACCACTTCCTGTTTTTGTTCCATTTGCAAAATAAGAATCTCAGCTGGTAACGCAACTTTTTATGAATACAGGACCTTTGATTTGGATATTTTATTGTGTGCCTTTTGAATCCATCAAAATGTTGACTGTTACGTTAGCTTCTCATGCTAGCTGGTAACTTCTTAGCTGCCGGATGCTTGTCGCTTGTCATCAACAGGTGGATTGTTTGGTGCGTGTGTTATCTTATGCCCATATGCAAAATTCTACTTCTTGCGGTTGAACTTGGAGACACGACTATACTGTACTTGGTATTCTGTGCTTGACTTTTAATTCTGCTGACTTTCTGACAACACTCTTTCCTCTTTTCCCTCTCATCTTCCCTCTTGTCTGTTCTTTTTCACAGTCTCAGTCCCATCGCAATTCTCCCTACAGCGTCTCCGAAGCGTGACAGGAAATTCTTCTCGTCATGTTGACAGAGCAAGAATCTAGGAAAACCACAAGAGGGTTGAATCCGTAGACAGGCACACGTGTTTCAACTTATAACCCAAGCACGATTTCTTCATATTCGTGTCTCCTCACCCAAGCTGATCTTCTCGCCAGAGTTGGCCGGGAGCAGGAAGACCAGCAGTGTCATGGATGAGAGAAGCACACATGGAATGAGGAGGTTGAGAGCATAGTACAGGGTCCGCCGTCGTAGGGTGACCACGAAGGTCACGTCAGGGTAAGGCTCTGCGCAACACTCATAGAAAACCTCATGACGACCGCCAGGTACCTCTGAGGGAGATACGGGAGGGTCAGAGATGCAGCAAGTGGGTCAAGACAAGGAAAAAAATACTGTTCAAGTGCTCCTCAGATTATGATGGTCCTTATATATGAGGTTTTGAGGCTATGGACTGTTAGATGAGGCCTCTTTGGCACAGATAATTAGATAAGTGACTAGAACTAGGCTGTTGTGTCGCTGTGACTTCGCTCTTGCTTGGCTTTCTTATCGATTACACACATATCAAGTTGAATACAGTTAAAACCATCGAGTAACATGTTGTCACATGGGCTAGGCAGACTAAATCTTCTGCAACTGTCAGAAAATGGCCCCACGGCATGTCTCAATCTTTCTGGCATCCAAGAAATAGTTCAACTGAGAGTATACATTCTTCTGGTAGTTACTGTTGGTATAATTTTGCAAGCATTAAAAATAAAAGGATCCTCGGAGTTTGCCAGAACTTTTCAATTGGTGCCATGACCCGGATCAGAAACATGTGCAGTTAACTAGTTTGAATACTGTTGGCTACTGATACTCTATTATCATTTTACTGTGAAGCAAAGCAAGATCTGTGGTTGGGGGGAAGGGGGGTGCAGTGTTGTGAGGTCGATAACTGCCCGTTCATGTGTGCAAATTGTAAATAACCACACCAATGGGGGAATAGGCAGACACTTCTTAGAAACATCAAGTGCATTTGAACTGTTTTTTGCATGCAAGTTTATATCCCTCGTTTTCTTCTCTTGAGACTGTAAGTTAGTGTTCTGATTAATGTTGAAATTTGTGTTACGTCGCCACCATAGGAAGCCAAGCAAAACGAAGCACCCCCTGTGTAGATTGTTAAATTAGGAGCTGCAGCAGAGCTAATAACGCATTTTAGACTATAAATTAGACGGAAAATAAGTGGGGACTTTTCTATGGGGGAAAAAAAAAATCCCATCAGGGGAGCAACTTTCTCGGTAGAAATACATGCTAAATATAGAATGCTGAAATGGACGCCCAGTGGGATAGCTGCTTGCACTTCTAGTTATTCGTTCTGGGGCATATTCTTGTAATATTTAAAGCTGTGGTCAATGCATGTAGGTTTTTGCTGTTCATGAACGCCGATTCCAAACTTAAATGACAATATCTCATCTTTTGCCAAAATAATTGGTCATAACATTTTATGTTATATTTGTATTTCCCGGTAATAATGTAGTACTGTGCAAACCAAGGGATGTGTTTTATTGCAATGCTATGATCATCATAACTTCTAACAATTTTTGTTTTCAACAAAGGAAGCAATGACTTTGGCACAGTATGGTATATCATTACAACATCAACCCGTAATGAGGCATGAAAGGTTCATATTGAACACCCACTTCTGTCATCTTCCATCCCCAATGTAGGCAACCCTTCCAGGGTGTTAACAGTCAGCCTCACCCAGTAGGTCCCACTCTCCACTGGGCATGTATCCCGACACGTCTGCCTCCTTCATCTGGATGTCCAGCAGCCAGCCGTCAAACGTCCAGGAGCCAAACTTCAATTCGCATCGCTGAATATCAAAGGGAAACCAGCGCACGTCCACGTTACAGGTACTGATAAAAATTCCTTATAGAGAAAAGAGGGAGTGTTAGTGTTCCAGAGGCATGCAAACAAGAGAATATTTTTCACAGGAGAAAATAGCAACAAAAAGAGTTTTAATTGTGTATGAATATAATACTAAAAATTAAAAAAGGATATATAAATTAAAATAGTAATTTACCTGGAGGCAGATACTCACAGAAGCCACTGGAGTTTACCAGCACGTTGGCCTTAAAGGTGCCATCAAATTTGCCGTGAGCACTGCAGTAGAATGACAGTGATGAGTGCGTGTTTGTAATGATTACACATGATAGAATATAAATAATCAATTTGTGCATCGTGATGAATTCATTGTGTCTCCTTTTGGTGTGCGTGACTTGGCCACTGGGTAGCAGTGTAGACAAAAAGAGTTTCATAACTACTGTAAGTGAGTCGGTATTTTTCCCTAATATTAATCGTTTTCCAAAATGACAAAGAATACGTTTCTGTGACTGTGAGTGTTGTTATATTTTCTGTCTCCATGAATTGCTGCAGCGTTTGTGTTCAAATATCCATGTTAGGCGTTTATAATGTGCCATATACAGTCGATGCTGTCTGCTAGCCCATCTATGACGTTACCCATTTTGTTAGCATTAAACTTGTGGACTTTTCGGCAAAGTTATTCGTTCTTTTAAATGCTCAACGTGTAATTCTCTTTGTTTTCTTTAGTTTGACATTTTTTCCGCAGTCTCCATGATTGATGGTTTGAAATCTTTTTTTAAAGAATTGTTTTCTAGCTGCCAAGCTGCTGCATATTGTGAAGTCAGTTAAGTTCAAGTCAGAGCAAAACATTGACCGGGTGACGGCTTGTCACATGTATCTCAAGCCACCACTGTTTTCAAAAACTAGTATCGTCAAGATGTAATAAGCATCAAATTTGCCAAGGTCAAGGGATTTCTTTTTTCCAATTCAGATGAAAGGCTCAAGATTCTCTCCAATTAGATGATTCAACCAACATCCCGGGACAAACCAAGTTCAAGTACACGAGTACAATAAATTTATTTCTGCATGCCATAAAAGAAGCGCAATAAGAATGCACAGCAGGAGACATTGTTGCTTGTATTGCTCTAATCCAAGCCTTTTGTCCAATATAGCTCAACACCTACAATGTGCACATCAACACAATTGTGACGTCACCAACCAAAGTCCTTTCTGCACTGTTCCTACTGTTAAGGCTTTTTTTAACAAGGTCTTGCGGCGACATGCACACCAGGTTCACCCCCCAACCCCCAATGCCAGGAAAGAACCAGGTTCAGTCACTGAATATGCACAGTGAAGATGCTTTCCTCCATGAGTAGGCGATTTTGAGGTGTCATCATTGCCAGTTACCGATGTTGTAAAAAAATTACATCATGTAATCATGACATGATATAAAATATCATGATTGAGAATCATCCTGCATGAAAAGCAGTATGTGTGTGAGTGTGTGTGAGAGACCCACCTATTATATAGGAATATGTCAGGTGTCCATACTTGATCTGCGGTAAAGCGAAGGTTTTTAACTCCAGGGTACTCTGACTGATTCCACTGCAAGTAGTGATCATACCACTGCTGGGGGATGTAAAGATACATGTTATTGATTATTAATCTCGTAGTCAGCTCAGCATAACATGCATAAATTATACAACAGTCCTGTGCGGGTATCTGTATTCAATTATTCAATTCTGTGTTTGTGTTCCACCTATTCTTGCCATCTGCGTTGCTATTGTCTATTTCTACACTGCTATAATAACAGATAGGGAATTAAAAACTCACCATCTGCAGCCAGATATTTGTGGTGAGAATCTGGTTCTTTTCATCCTGGAAAAAAAATCAAAGGTAAAAAAAAAAAAAGCTTTTTAGCAATTAAAGAATTGTTCAACTTTGGCAAGCCCAAGCCTACTGGATGCCGTTGAACAGTTGTCGGGTATTGATTTACTTTGATTGACTTTAATTAGAGTAGCGAGTGTAAACAAAAGCTATTAGGCATCTAACTCAAAGTTAGAGAATATCCCGTAAAGTTCTAATTCGAGATTTTGTTGCCGTCAGGCAAGAAAATGCCATCAAAGGAAACATCTGAAGTGGAACGACAGGAGTGTCCTTGCGAGAGAAGTCCCTTAGCAAGTTGCAAAGTGACAAAAAATAAGTAATAGGGCCTAAATCACCTCAGATTACCGGTATACGATTTAAAATACTACATGTAGTTCTTGACATCGGGCAAAAGGCACTTCATTGTTACTTTTTATTTTTTTTTAATAATTACAATTTTAATAATTCATTTTTTTAAATTTATTTAGGTTTTTTGTGATTACATTACCATTTTAGTTTTTTTATTTCATTTAATTACTTTGTAAAATGTTAATTTTAGAAAAATAATAGGAATATTAGACCATAAAAATAAAGTCGTTTTCAGTATTATTATGACGACTTGATCAGTACTACAATTTCATGATTGTTGTTTCTTTATTTATGAAGAAGAAAATTGCAGCAAAACTAGTTGCCAACAGTCAGCCACTCAGAAAAGCTATTTGATCCTAATGACATAAAAAAGTTAACGTTTTTATGTCACAAAGTCTTTTTTTTTGGACTATGGGCTTTTGAGACATCATTTGTGTTGTGCTTGTTGTGTCAATTTGCCTACCACATCCATGACTTGCATTAGCGTGATGGAGAAGTGGACGGTGAGGCTGTGGGAGTCATTGGCCACGGGCCTCTCCATGGGGTTATAATCTCTCAGCAGCTCCCTGAGCAAAAAGCGTTGATGGGGACCCTGTGTGGTCTCTTTGTGGATCGACAATGCGGAGATGGAGAATTTGTAAAGTATTGATTATGTGGGGGGACAAAAGAGGAGAAGGAGAACCATAAAGAAGAGAATGCTGTGTCAGAAGAAAGCAAAAGAGTAATAGAACCTCAGTACTTTTAATCAATTACAACCCCTGATGGATCACTGGCGGACACACAATCTCTTCCTGCTGTTGTAAAGATGTCCGCTTCATTTCAGGCGCAGAAAATGAGGCTGTTAAACGTGGAGATAACCGGGACACACAGCATTGACTGGAAAATGAGCTTTCACTCCGCAGACCGTAACTCCAGACGAGGGGGCTTTGATTCAGTGATTTCTCATGAGGGCAATTACACTGATGTGGACACAACGATCATTTAAGAGCCACAGCACACTTTGCATATGGACAAAAGCATTGGCCAGTTCTTCTTCAAAAAGCTCTTGGAACCAAAGGACCTTCCTCACATTGTTCCCACAGTCAGAAGCAGTATAGAGTATCTTTCATAATTGAAATATTAAGATGCAAGGAGTAACACTCAATGTCTAACTAATTAATAGATTGATTTATGACGTGTGTCTGGATAATTTTGTCCATATTTGAGGGTGGGCAAGATTCTCTGCTTAAGAGCCACATTTGATTTTTGAGGCAAACATGTAGGCCAGGTCATTTGTAGATGAGGTACAATTGAGATATATATATATATATATATATATATATATATATATATATATATATATATATATATATATATATATATGTGTGTGTGTGTGTGTGTGGGTGTGTGTGCACAGATCATATTGATAGGGTCCAAAGGGTCAAGTCGTTTTCAGTAACCACTGAATGATCCCTATTTGCTGTCTCTTTATTTCATCATGATGGTTCCATCAATACTCTCATACGCTTAGCAATACTGGCAGGCTTCATGCACACACACACACACACACACACACAGGTAGACATGCAAACACAAACAAAACCACACTTGTTTGAGGCCAGCTCTGTCAAAGTTACTTACCGGGCAGCTGGGTGACAAGTGTCAGAAGCCAAAGAGCTGCAGCCTGCAACATGCTGCGTGCATTCCCCTCGTTTGTGCACAGAGAAGGACTGGTGGAAGATGATGGATAGATCCAGATGTGAGAAGAGGTTGAATGTGAAATGCACAGCAGCGGAGCGAGGGAAGAAACGGGAGGTGGGATGAGGAGGAGGAGGGGAGAGAGCAGGTGGGAGAGAGATGGAGTGAGACAAACACTGGTGGGATAAAGGAGGATGCTCTGTTTTTACTAGTAGTGTGCCTTACATTGACGTAAACACATAGGTATAGAAGTTTATCTTTTGCCGTAACCATTCAATAGTACCATCAGAGGAGCCAGTGTTATGAATCCACTATGTTTACGGATTGGAGTAGCACTTGAGCAATGCATTGCAGTGCCCCCAGTGCAAATTTGCCAGAACATTTAGATTACCCAATCCGGGTCTGAGGCTGACGAGCTGCACAACCCCAGTAATAGATGTAGGAGACTGCTCATAGATCAATCCTATGGAATGATCAAGTGTAAGTGGAGGCTCCTCCAGTATGTTGTGTGTTTTCGCATGTGCTTCAGAGATGTGTCAGGCATACCCAAATGGATGCCCGAGACAGACAGATGAAAATGAGTAGAGCAGTGTTTCCCAGCCTATATGTAGCCAAGGCACAAATTTAACATTGAAAAAAAAGATCTAACATTATACCACTTTACTTATGTCACAAAAAGTGGATAAACAGGTTAATTATGTAGCTTCTGCCATCTAGTGGAAGAGCATTTTAATCGCTCTTCCTGTTACTCCTCACTGACGTAGACAAGCACAAAAATCTTGTTTTCGTAAATCGACATCTTTTTCCTCTAAAATAAGTGACATTAAAGAATTTCCTGACTCTCTCCACAGTACACTTTTGTGCCACGGCACATAGATTGGGAATGCTATGAAGGGATCCCGCTCTTTTTTAGAATGTTCATACTATACAGTAGATATCAATAGTACACTACTCTATATTTTCAAGGACAATAAGACATCCCCATATGTGTTGTCTGTTTAACAACAAAACGTTTTGTATAAACAGTCAAACTAAAAATTCTATAAACTGATCATGTAATTACGTAGTTACGTTTAACCCACTTAACTTTTGATCAAGTGCAAAAATACATTTCATTGTAGGTGTATTTAAAACATTTTATCATATGAGTAATACAGTTGTATAAATTGAGGCGCAATAGATTATTCCCTTCAATTCCTATAATTCCAAAAAATGCTTTGCTTGTTTGTCTGCATTATGCGTAATTTAATCATTTTATTTGTTTGTTCGAACTACATATTATTTATTTATGGATTTCATTATTTGTGGACAGTATTGTAATGTCTTCC